GTGTGGGGGAAGGGGATCAGGCAGACTGGGTCTGAGGGGTAAGGATGGGTGGGTGAAGAGTGTGGTGAGGGGGTTGTTTGACAAGGAACCTGGGTTTAGAAGTTTCGAAATGGAAGCAGAAATTGCTGGAGAAACTCGGCAGATCTGGTAGCATTTGTGGGAGAGAACAGTTAAAATTTTGAGTCCAGTGACCCTTCCTCAGAACGTTTTGAAGAAGGGTCACTCGACCTGAAACGTTAATTTGAGCGTCTCCAGCAAATTCTGTTTTTTTTCTGATTTTCAGCATTCGCAGTTCTTACGGTCTTCTTCAGAAGTTAGGGTTAGTGTTGGGGTTGGGGATTGGGCTGCAGGGTGAGACTTGTGCTGCTCTGGGTATAGTTGGAGTTCTAACCCTGCCCTCTGGATGTATAGGTGGGGTCAGTGGTGTGCATTAATGTAATGGTGCTCGTTTTGTCCCCACAGTGTTTTGTCACTTGTGCTGACAGTCCTTGCTCTGCTCCAGCTGACTGATGTTTGACGAGGAGGATTGGAATGATGATGGGGAAGCCAGGGCCCTGAGTAAAGCGCTCTTTCACAGGACAGAGTCTCCACACTGCAGTAGCAACCTGGTAAGTGCCAAGTTGATGATCCTTTCCTACAATAGCCTTTGTTAAAATGTTTGAAACACTCAGCTATTTGAAACACTCACATTGTCAGTGGAGAGAAACAACTAATGTTTCAGATAAGTGAGCTGTACCTGATTATCCGTTAACAAGCACTGTCACAGACCAGTCTCAATCCCATACATTTGGGAGCTGGTGGTTTAGTGGTTATTTCAGACCAATGCTGTTGAGGATATGGAGCAATGCTCCATCATTATTCTGTCATGCCACTGCCAGGAGTGTTAGATGGTAGATTGCATGAACCTTTATCTTTTCTTGTTCAGCCGTTCCCATATCCCTGTTGAAATAGATCTGGATCACTTACTTGCTAAGAAATGGCATGTTAAGGAGGGGAAATGCTGACACAAACTCTTTCTTCTTTTTAGAATGTACGGTCACCTGGTGGAAAGAAGAAACAGAAGCTTCTGCAAACACTCCAGACTCTTTCTGCAGCAGGAGCCCCTGATCAGAATCCAGAGGCAACACAGCCCAAGCCTGAGTATGGAACAGCAAAGAAAGCTGGGGCGAGAAACAAGAGGAAAAGGAAGAGAAACCGGGGAAAGGAGGAGAGTGAAGAGGATGTGGAGAAACGAAATGATGCTCCTTTGAAATCGCCATTTGCACAAGGTATCACAGGAAATGAAAATCAGAGTAGTAGGATGGGAGGCAAGGAGATTGGATACGTACAAGGTGGCAGTGCAGAACGGGGCAATAGAAGCGTAGCTCCGTGTTCAGAGGTGCTAAAGGCAGGTGAGCTGGGAAGAAACGCAAGACAGGGAATGCTCACCCGCCAACAGTGGAAGAACAAAATGAAAAACAAACATCGAAACAAAAACAAGTTCCGGCCCACGGTCACATCGTCTGCAGAGAATGGAGGACAAATGAAGGTGAAGGCTGAATGTGAAAGGATTTTGAAGAAATCAGAACCTGAGCAAGATGAAGGCACAAATATCACAGACAGACACAAAACTAAAATAAAGCAAAAGAAGGGAAGAAGTCAAGAAGGGACTGATCCAGCAGAGAGAACAGTCTCTGAGATCAACAATGAAAAAATATCCAACCTCAACCAGAGAACAAGAAATCATAACCAGAACAGTGAGACTTTGTCGAAGAGGAGGAAAAGAATGTGTGAACAGCAAAGGGACTGTATCTCAGGCAGTCCCAGTCCTCTGGCCAGAGACTTGGCACTTCCTGTGGGAATAAATGGCACTAAATCAGGTCCCCCCAGCCCAACCTCGAACCGCTCAGCAGCTTTGAGAAACAAGATGGAAGAGCGCCTGAAGTCAGCCCGTTTCCGTTACATCAACGAGCAGCTGTACACCTCGAGCAGTGCAGACGCCATGAAGCTCTTCGCTCAGGACCTTGCTACTTTCCAGCTTTATCACCGAGGCTTCACGGCGCAAGTGGAGCGCTGGCCAGAAAATCCAGTCGACAGGATCATTCAGTACATCCGAAACAGGTACAGCTGGGCAGAGCAAGGGGTTAGAGGCCTGGCGGTAGTAGGAGCCTAGTAATAGCTCACCACTACCATCTCAAGGACAACTAGGGATGAATAATAAATGCTGGCCCAGCCAGCGACAGCCATATCTTGTGAATGAATTTTTAAAAACAAGGCTGTGCTGGTGGGAGACGACTGGAGTGGGAGACGTCGATGCTGAGGAGAAGGGTAAAGTGTTGGAGTGGGGCGGAAAGATGTTGAGGAAGGGAAAGGTAAAATGTTGGAGATGACAAAAGGTCAGAGTGGGGCATTTTCTTTGACGGCACCTTCCAAACCCAAGAGGGACAAGGGACAGGAGCAGCAGAGATGTGAAATAGTGAGCACCTGAAAGGTCCCCTCCATAGTGTAGCCCTGAACCAAGTGATTGGCCAAGCCTCAGTACAACATAAAAAAAACAACTGCGGATGCCAGAAATCGGAAACTAAAAAAGCAATCGCTGGAAAAACTCAGCAGGTCTGGCAGCATCTGTGGAGAGAAATCAGAGTCAACGTTTCAAGTCCAGAGATCCTTCTTCAGAACTGATGGCAGTTAAGAAAATGTCGGTTTTTATGCAGAAGATAGGATGGGGGAAGGGTATGAGGAGTAAATGCTGGAGATAGACCCCAAGGAGAGACAACAGTTGGACAGACAAGGCAGTGGATTACAGTCAGCCTAGGACAATGAATGGGGATTATTAGTGCTAACAATCGGTGGTGTGTAATAGAAGAAGGTTACTTCAAAGTACAACGGGATCTTGATCAGATGAGCCAATGGGCCGAGGAATGTAGATGAATGTGAGGCGCTGCATTTTGGAAAGGCAAATCAGGGCAGGACATACACTTAATGGGAACTCCTTGGGGAGTGTTGCTGAACAAAGAGACCTTGGAGTGTAGGTTCATAGTTCTTTGAAAGTAAAGTTGCAGGTAGGTAAGATAGTGAAGAAGGCATTTGGTATGCTTGCCTTTATTGGTCATTGCATTGAGTAAAGGAGTTGGGAGGTCAAGTTGCGGCCGTACAGGACATTGGTTAGGCCACTGTTAGAATACTGCGTGCAGTTCTGGTCTCCCTCCTATAGAAAGGAGGATCTGAAACTAGAAAGGGTTTGGAAAAGATTTACAAGGATGTTGCTAGGGTTGGAGGGTTTGAGCTATAGGGAGAGGCTGAATAGGCTGGGGCTATTTGCCCTGGAGAGTTGGAGGCTGAGGGGTGACGTTATAAGAGGTTTATTAAATCGTGAGGGGCATGGATAGGGGAAATAGACAAGGTCTTTTCCCCAGGGTGGGGGGAGTCCAAAACGAGAGGGCATAAGTTTAAGGTGAGGGGGGAAAAGATTTAAAAGGGACCTAAGGGGCAACTTTTGCACACCGAGGGCGGTGTGTGTATAGAATGAGCTGCCAGAGGAAGTGGCAGAGGCTGGTACAATTACAACATTTAAAAGGATTCTTTCAAAGTGGTTGTCAAGGGGATCAAGGGTTATGGGGAGAAAGCGGGAGAACGATGTTGAGAAACTTATCGGCCATGATTGAATGGCGGAGCAGACTTGATGAACTGAATGGCCTAATTTCTGCTCCTGTGTCTTATGGCATCTGGATGGGTATATGAATAGGAAGAGTTTAAAGGGATATGGGCCAAATGCTGGCAAATGGGTCTCGATTTATTTGTGATATCTGGTCAACATGGACGAGTTCGACCGAAAGGTCTGTTTCCATGTTGTCCATCTCTGACTCCATGACTCTGTAATAACAAGGCCTGGTAAGTGGGGTTTGGGGTAAGGACATGGGAGAAGGTACCTTCAACCCAAAGATTGTTGAACTTGATATTGAGTCTAGTGGGCTGTAGAGTTCCCACGTGGAAAATAAGTTGCTGCTCTTCCAGCTTGTGCTGATCTTCACTGGAACACTGCAGCAAGCTTGAGACAGAAATGTTGGCAAGGGAACACGGTGGTGTGTTGAAGTGGCAGGCAACTGGAAGCTCAGGGTCCAGTCTTTGGCGGACATAAAGTAGGTGTTCTGTGAAGTGGTCACTGAGTCTACGTTTCGTTTCCCCAATGTAGAGACCATTGTGAGCAGCAAATGTAGTAGGCTAGATTGAGTGAAGCGCTGGTAAAGTGCCACTTCACCTCTAAGGTGTGTTTGGGCCCTTTGATACTGAGAAGAGAGGAAGTAAACGGGCAGGTGTTACACCTTCTGTAGTCGCAGTGGAACGTGCCTTGGGGATGTTGGGGATGGTGTTGGGAGTGAAGACAAGTGAATCAAGGTGTCCAGGAGAGAATGGTCCTTGCTGAAGGCTGACAAGGGAGGGGAGGTGAATATGTGTCTGGTGGTGGCATCCTGCTGGAGGTTGCGGAAATGGCTGAAAATCATCTTCTGGATGTGGTTGCTGGTGGAATGGTAGGTGAGGACAAGGGGAGCCCTATCACTGTTGTAGGAGGGAAGAGGGGGGTGAGTGCTGAAGTGTAGGAGGTGAGTCGAATCCGGTTGAGGGTCCTGTCCTCTGCAGTGCTGGGAAATCCTCAGCTGAGGAAGAAAGTTGACATTTCAGAGGCTCCCTTGTTGAAGTTGGCATCATCAGAACAGCTATGACAGAGACAGAGGAACTGGGAGGATGGAATAGAATCCTTACAGGAAGCAGAATGTGAGGATGCATTGTCAAAGTAACTGTGGGAATCAGTGGGTTTGTAGTGGATATTGGTGGCTAGCCTATCCCCAGAAATGGAAACAAATGTTGTCAAAGGAAGTGAGGAGTCAGAGATGGGCCAGGTGAAAGTGAGATTGGGGTGGACATTGGAAGTGAAATGGATGTATTCCCAAAGGGAGAGGGATCGGATCGATGACATCAACAATATACTGGAGAAAGATTTGTGGGTGGGAGCTGGAATAGGACTGAAAGAAGGAATGTTCCATGTACCCCACAAAGAGAGAGGCATAACTGGGATCCCTGCAGTTACCCAAGGCCACCTTGCTGAGCTGAAGAAAGTGAGAAGACTTGGAAGAAAAGTTGTTCAGAGTGAGGTCGAGCTCAGCCAGGCAGAGGAGGGTGGTGGTGGATGAAGACAGTTCAGGCGTTTTGTTCAGGAAGAAGCAGAGCACCCTGAGACCAGCCTGATAGGACACCCGACTCCCAGAGTTATCTTGACTACACATCCTAACATCCTACTTCCTCTCTTCCATCCTCCGAGTTCCTCTGTCTCCGTAGCCTCTGTTCAGATGATGCCAACTTCGACAAGGGAGCCTCCGAAATGTCTACCCTCTTCCTCAACCAAGGATTCCCCAACACCGTGTTTGACAGGGCCCTCAACCAGATCCAACCCATCTCCCGCACTTCAGCCCTCACCCCTTCTCTTCACTCCCATAATAGCGATAGGGTCCCCCTTGTCCTCAACTGTCATCCCACCAGCAATCACATCCAGAAGATCATTATCAGCCATTACCGCCACCCCCAGCTGGATGTCACCACAGACATATATTTCCCTCCCCTCCCTTGTCAGCCTTCAGCAATGACTGTTCCCCCTGGGATACCCTGGTCCACTCCTCCTTCACTCCCAACGCTGCCACTAACAGTCCTACGGTACCTTTCCTTGTAACCACCAAAGGTGTAATACCTGCCCATTTACTTCCTCCCTCCTCAATTTCCAAGGGCCCAAACACACCTTCTAAGTGAAGCAGCACTTTATCTGCACTTCACACAATTTGGTCTACTGCATTCGCTGCTCACAATGTGGTCTCCTCAACACTGGGGGAGCAGAGACTGGGTGACTGCTTTGCAGAACACGTATGTTCTGATCGCAAAAATGACTGAGCTTCCAGTTGCCTGCCAGTTTAACACCACCATGTTCCCCGGCCAACATCTGCCTCAGGCTTGTTGCAGTGCTCCAATGAAGCTCAGCACAAGCTGGAAGAACAGCACCTCATTTTCTGCTTGGGAACTCTGTAGCCTTCTGGACTCAATATAGAGTTCGACAGTTTTGGGACTTGAGGCACCTTCTTCCATGTCCTTACCCCAAACCCCACACACCAGGCCTTGTTATCACATGGTCTGCTATGACACACAACCCATTGTCAGCCACTAATACTCTCCATTTGCAGCTAGTCATTCTCCTAGGCTGACCGTTATCCACTCCTTTGTCTGTCCAACTGTTCATCTCTCTCCTTGGGCTCTATCTCCACTTAATGTTAATGCCATACACCACCCCTCTATCTTCTGCATAACAACCAACTTTTTCCAGCTGGCCTCTAAACTCTCTTTCCTGCTCCCACAGACCATCCACTGCTGTCGTCGCTGATTTTGGCTGTGGTGACTGTAAGATTGCCCGGAGTGTGAGCAACAAGGTTCACTCATTTGACTTGGTGGCACTCAATGAACATGTGACTGTATGTGACATGGCGAATGTAAGTATTGATGGAACCCAACTCTACTCACCAGAGCTCGAGTCCCCAATCACCTCCCTGACTCGACATGGGATTTCCCTAGGAACATTCGGTCATATCTCTGGGAACGGCTAGGCCTGGCTCCCTACACGTTTCTTCCCTAATCTCTACATCCCTGGTATCGTTTGGCTCTGATTCTCCCTCTGTCCAAGTTTGTCACTGATGCTGCAACCTCTCTTGCTCAGTTTCTCCCTGCTTTTCCTCCTCTGCTGGTCTGGTTTCTGCCTGAATCCCTCTTTCTCACTAGTTTCCAGTTTCTTCTTGATTCCCTCTCCTTCCACCCCTCGGTGTATGTCTGTCTCTCTCTCTCTCTTTCTTTTCCTCCCCACTGTCTTTTCCTTGGTCACGGTTTCTCTCATAATTTCCTGTCCCTCGTTCCTGGTCTCTTCTTTATTCTCTGTCCTTAGACCCCTGTTTCTGCTCGATTTGCCCTCTCTCACTTAGTCCCAATTTCAACCTGATTCCCCATCTCTCATGATCTGTGTGTAGAAATGGGCCATTCAGCCCATCGAATCCCTGTGACGTTCAGTAAGATCATGGCTGATCTGATCCTCAACTCCAATTTCCTGCTTTCTCCCTATAACCTTTGATTCACTTACTGATTTAAAAAAATTCTCTACCTCAGCCTTGAGTATGCTTAATGACACAGCCTCCACTACCCTCTGTGGTAAAGAATTCCACAGATTCACTCCCTTCTGAGAGCAGAAATTGCTCCTCATCTCTGTTTTAGATGGCTGACCCCTTACTGTGAAGTGATGCCCTCGTCCTGGACTCTCTCACATGGGAGACAACCTTTTTTGCATTTACCATGTCAAGTCCCCTAAGAAGGGTGGCATGGTGGCTAAGTGGTCAGCACTGCTGCCACACAGTGCCAGGGACCCAGGTTCGACTCTACCCTTGGGTGACTGTCTGTGTGGAGTTTGCACATTTTCCCTGTGTCTGCGTGGGTTTCCTCCGGGTGCTCCGGTTTCCTCCCACAGTCCAAAGATGTGCGGGTTAGGTGGATTGGCCAAAACAAATTGCCCGTAGTGTTCAGGGATGTTCAGATTAAGTGGGTTATGGGGCATGGGTCTGGGTGGGATGCTGTGAGGGTCGGTGTGGACTTGTTGGGCTGAAAGGCCAGTTTCCACACTATCGGGATTCTATGATGATAACTATAAGAATTTTTTTATGTTTCAGTAAAGCCACATTTCATTCTTCTAAATTCCTATGAGTACAGGCCCTACTTAACCTGTCCTCATAAGACAGTCCCTCCGTACCTTGTATCAACTTTATCTGGATTGTGTCCAGTGCCAGTATATTTATCCTTAAATAAGGGGCCCAAAACTATTCACACTATTCTTGCTGTAGTCTGACTCATACCTTGTGTAATTTTAGCAAAACCTCCCTATTTTTATACTCTATTTACTTGAAATTCAGGCCAATATTCCATTTGCCTTCCTTATTACTGGCTGAATTGGCTAGTTCATTAATTATGGGGTGAATTTAAACTTCATGTAGTTTGGGAAAATTAAATTAGCGAAGGTAACCATGAGGTAGAATTCGTAGAGTGTATTCAGGACAGTTTCCAAATCAGTATCTGCATCCAGTGAGGGATCTGGTAGCATGCAATGAAGCTGGTTTTATAAATGATCTCAGAGCAATAATGACCATAACATGATAGAATCAGTTTGAGAGTGAGATACTGGGGCTGGAAACAACTGTGCTGGACTTTAATAAAGATAATTGTTTGGGAATGAGTGCAGAGTTGGTTGATGCAGACTGGGAAAAGTATTTAGCAGAAAAAATGGTAGAGGAACAAAGGAAGACATTTAAGGTAGTCCATTATTCTTATCCACGCAACATATCTCTAGTTTCTGGTTTCACAGTGTGTCCAACATTACTGCATTTGGTGTTCTATAAACAACTCCCACCAATGTATATTTTCCACTGCAGTTTCTTAACTCCACCCAAACTAATTCTCCATCTTGATCCTTGAATCGAAGGTCGCCTCTCAGTCATGTACTGATGTCGTCCTGCATAAGAAGTGTTAGCCCAGTTCCTTTTCCTTTTTGTTTGTGTCTCCTAGATGTAGAATTTATTGGATATACAGTTGCCAATTGTTTCACTTATGACAACTAAATTATACCCAGTTACCTCAATTTGTGTATTCAAATCATCAACCATGTACATTAGGATAGAGTGCCTTGAGTTCAGCCTTTTTGCATTCCCCATTCTGATCAGACTTGATGCTTGCCATTTCTTCATCTGTCTTCTGTTTTGCTTCACTAGTGGCTAAGCTGTTTGGCTCAGTGTTCTGAGAACATGAGTAGCAAGCTACTGTGTTGGATTCATAGGAACACGTTCACCACCTCTTCTTGAGGTAGTTAGGGATGAGCAATAAATGCTTGTCTTGTCAGCGACACAAACTGTTAATGAAAACAAAACATTTGAAGGGAAAAGATTGCAAGATTCTGCAAAGAGCAGAGACTAACTGGGCTCTTCTTTGATATACACAGTGAATTGGATGGTCTCTTGTGCTATTCTACGACTTTAAAGAAACTGAGCCTGCTTTTGACATTTATGTTTGCTTGTGGTGCTTTAGGTACCTTTGCATGCTGAATCGGTCGATATCGTTGTTTTCTGTCTTGCGCTGATGGGCACTAACCTTCTGGATTTCCTGACAGAGGCCAATCGTGTCCTTCGACAGGGGTAAGCCCAGTGATTCCCTCTGTCACTCACCACACTGGCACAGGTCCTTTCAACTCCGCTGCATTTTTCTAATCCAACTCTCAAATCCTGCACACCTCTGATGTATGCTTCCTAAAGAGTTTCATTTCTATAGCGCCTTTTGTGATCTGCTTTTGAATTCTGGAGACAAGTTAGAAAATGCTTTTATTTGGAATACGGGAGGTCTGAAGCGTGGGCTTTAGCTGTTTAACTCGTTTGACACTGGTAACCTGAGGAGGCAACAGCAGGAGGGGAGGAAGAGTGGTGAGGCTGGCAAGGTGAGGGTGGTGGGAGGTATGGGAGAGCGGACATGGATTTCCTGTGTGGTGGGAGGAAAATGAAGAGTTGGTCGTGAAAATGACTCTGGGGCCAGTATGACAGGGTCAATGTTGGTGTGTTACCCATTTCTGGATTTCTCTGTTTGACCAGGGGGATTCTGAAGATTGCTGAAGTGGCCAGCAGATTTGAAGACGTCCGGAGTTTCACCAGTGTCCTGGGATCTCTTGGTTTTAAGCTGATTTCAAAGGTATAATTTAAAACTACGCTTCATTTGACCAATTGGGGATTGTAGTGATTGTAACGAGGTCAGCCAGATGGACCTCCTAGAATACGAGTTCCCTGATTGGGGCTGTTAATCTGGTCCAATCGGGGAGCCCTGACTGATAAATATAAACAGGAGTGTCGGAGCTTCTCTTCACTCTGAGAGCTGCATCTGAGGGACCTAGATCAGTGACAAGGACTCTCCCCATGTAAATAAATGGTGACTTGGTGATGTGATACCAGCCTCTGGGGAGTTATTTCAGGGATGTGTGAAGAGAAAGGTTGCAAGGGCGAACCTGAGTGTGTTCCAGTCTTTTTTTCTGTGACTCCCCACGTGAGGTTTCTGGGGGTGGGGGGGCGTGTGTGCTGTCCAGAAGGGAGCAGTTCTTGCAATGGGTTGAGTTTCTGAATCCAGTTGGGGGGGAAGGGGAGTGTCTCGGCAGGGGGTGGTGGGGGAGGGGGCTGGTGGGGGGTTGGTTGTGGTACTAGTCTGTGGTTGAGTCTGCAGGGGTGACCCATGGGAGGGAGAGCTGGTCTAGCTTGGGGACGATCTCTCCCTGGGGGTCTGACCCTGCCCTGGGAACTTTGTTGTATTGTGTGGTATTTGTTTGGGCATTTGTTTGTTTGTTCCCACAGGACACAGAGAACAGCTACTTTTATCTGTTTGACTTCAGGAAGAGTGGGTCTCACGTGGAGAAAGGGAAACTTCCTCGTCTACAACTAAAGCCTTGCCTTTACAAAAAACGCTGAGATCCTCTGGAGGTTACGAATAAACCACAGAAGCAATGTGAATGGTGAATGATGAGAACAGAGGTTTCTGATGGTAATAGGAGGGAAGGTGTTTACCTACAGACTGATGTGACTGTGTACAAACAGAACGGCCGAAAAGAAAACATCCAGTATTATTTTGCTGTTTTTTTCAAATGGGCTGATTCACAAGAAATTTGTGATGCCTCATGGAGAAGATGGTGTTTGGGCTGTGTGTGGAGAAGCAGTGATTGATCTGAGGGTGTGTACACTTTTTTTGGACTACTTTAGTTGACTGGAATCTGTGCAAGTTAAGGTTTTCTACTTCTGAATAATTTGTAGATTTTGACTTTTGTATTTTTGTACAAAAAATTGATGATGGGTCATCAACAGTCAAAAGTCTAAGTAAACAGCAGTGGCTGAGAAGGACTTGGTAATATATCACTCTGTAAATTACTTCCAGCAGGCCCTGCTCTAAAACTAAGCAAAGGCTTTTGACTTTCACAGTTCATGGAATTGCATTGTACAAAAGAGGCCCTTTGGCCCATTGAGTTTGTACTGACAAAACTACTTGAATTCTACACTAGGCCCATAGCCTTGAGTGGCATGACACTTCACATGCTTTTCCAATTACTTCTAAAGGTTGTGGATTTTCCTGCCACAGCTACCCTCCCAGGCACTGCATGCTGGACATTCATCACCCCCTTGGTGGAAAAAGACTTTCCTCGAGTCCCCTCAACCTTCTGCCATTCACTTCAAAAATGTGCCGCTCTTGTTATTGATGACCAAGAGGAATGGCTGATTTCTATCCAGCCTGCCCATGCCTTTCATAATCTTATACATCTCTTCTGGGTTCCCTCTTGGGCCTCCTCCTGGTAAGAAACCAACCCAAGCCTATTCAGCCTCTCTTCTTAGCTGAAGTGTTGTGTCCTCGGCAACCTGTTGAATCTCCTCTGCACCCACTCCAGTGCAGTCACATTCGGAAGTGCACATAGAACTCCAGCTGTAGTGTCACCAAAGTCCTGTACAGCTTGGTACAACCTTCCTGCTCTTGATAATGAATTCACTACTGACTCTTTGAGTTTGGTGATTTGATGAAGTGTCCCTGGAATCAAAAAGTTAACTATGCTTTCTTCCCACAGATGCTGCCAGATCGGCTGAGTTGTACCAGCAATTTCTACTTTTGTTTCAGATTTCCTGCATCAGCAGATTTTTATTTTGTTACACCTCTGACTGTTCGAAAATCCACCAGATGTGATCATGTGACAATCTAATCCTTCCAGGTATTACACAGGTGACACTGACACTTGAAAAAGGAGAGAGTCTCCAAAAGCTTGTGTCTTCAAACAAATCTGTTGGACTATAACCTGATGTCATGTGATTTTTGACTTTGTTCATCTCAGTCCAACACTGGCACCTCCTCATCATGGCTTCCAGGTGTTCAAAGCTTTAAAATTCTCTCCTCCACAGATGTTAAACAAACTAGCCATGAATGAATGTTCGTTCTGTTTGGTGTTATTGTCTGATTTTTCTTAAAAGCTAAGTACTGTGAAAGCTGGAAATCTGTAATAAAAGAGAAAGTACTGTATAATTTTAGCAGATCTTCAAGCATCTGTAGAGAAAAAATTAACATTTCTTTGTATTAAGCACTCACTATTTCTCTCTCCGCAGATATTGTCAGACCTGCTGAGTTTCTCTGGGACTTTCTATTTTTTATTACTGATGTTCATAGCTGTTGTATTTTTTTAAAATCATATTCTCATTTTCAATTGTTTAAAATTATTATTCCTCTAGTCTCAGTTGCTTCTGCTCAATTTTAATTTGTTTTGACCCTTTTTTGCTATCCTGAAGCTCTCAGTAGTTTCCATCAATTCCTTGAGTTTATTCTTTCAACTGAGTGGTGTGCTAGACTACTTCAGAGGGTGCTTGAGAATCACCCACATTGCTGGGACTCTGGAGTAATTTTTTGGCCAGCCCAGGTAAGGACAGCAAATTTTCATGACAATCAACAATGGTTACAAGGCTGTCTTGTTATTCCAGATTTGACTGAATTTAAATGTTGAACCCTTGGCCCCAGAGCATTAGCCTGGGATTCTGGATTACTAGTCATGTTAAAGCTGTACTGTACATTGGTTAGGCCACTTTTAGAATACTGCATACAATTCTGTCTTCCTTCTGTACGAAGAATGTTGTTAAACTTGGGGAGGGTGCAGAAAAGGTTTACATGGATGTTGTCAGGGTTGGAAGGTTTGAGCTATAGGGAGAGGCTGAAGAGGCTGGGGCTTCTTTCGCTGGAGTGTCAGAGGCTGAGGGGTGACCTAATGGACGTTTATAAAATCATGAAGGGCATTGATAGGCTGATTAACGAAGGTCTTTTGCCTAAGGTGGCAGAGTCCAAAGCTAGAAGATGTAGTTTTAAGATGAGGGGAAAGATGAAAAGGACCTGAGGGGCAACTTTTTCATGCAGAAGGTGGTGCATATAGAGAATGAACTGCCAGAGGAAACTGGTTGAAGTACAACATTTAAAAGGCATCAGGATGGGTATATATGGGCCAAATACTGGCAAATGGGACGAGATCAGACAAGTTGGACCGAAGGATCTGTTTCTCTGTTGTATGACTACACTAGTCTACCAACATTACCACTAATATAACTAACTATATACTGCACTGTTTTTTCCAATAAAGGAAGAATAAGAATACAACATACAGGAATCTAACACAAAATGCTTCCTAGGACTTATCATAAGGAAGTATTTTAGGGTTTTGAACAGCTTTCTGCTCTGGTTCTGCAGTGACACAACGCTTAGGGCAGTTCAGCCTCAAGGTTGAAAGCAGCTATGAACAAACAAGGCAGATCAGGAAGTGTGGTTATGAAAGGTCAAACTCTGGTTTCCAGCCTTGTCTCTTATTGGAGGATAGAAGCAACAGAGTGTAGTACAGATTCACTGGGAAAAATAACAGGACTAAAAGAGATAAAATTACGTCAAATTGCAAAGAAGCTGGCTTGTATTCCCTTGAATATAGAAGATTAAAGAGCAGTCTAATTGTGCTGTTTAGGTCGGTTACAAATTTAGACAGGACTCTTGGAAAGAAATCATTTCCTTTGGTGGAATAGAGCCTTCAAATCCCAGCCAGGCTGTTTGGTGCTGATATCCGCAGAGACAAAGGACAAGGGAAATCTAAAATTGTTCCCTCTCTGTTCTGTCTCCATAGATCATAGGGGTGGTGCGGTGGTTCAATGTGCTGGGGACCTAGGTTCAATTACAAACTAAGGTGATTGTATGGAGTTTGCACTTCTCCCTATGTTGACGTGAGTTTCTACTTAGTGCTCTAATTTCCTCCCACAGCCCAAAGATGGGTAAGTTAGGTGGGTTGGCTATGCTAAATTGCCCAGTGTCTAGGGATGTGTAAGTTAGGTGGATTAGCCGTGGGAAATGCGGGGTTACAGGAATAGGGTACAGAGGTGAGTCTGGGTGGGGTGCTCCTTGCAGAGTTGGTATGGACTTGTTGGGCTGAATGGAATGTTCCCACAAATAGGGATTCTATGAAAGATGCTGTTAGTGCTGCTGCGTTTCTCCAGAAATTTATGTTTCTGTTTCAGATCTTTGGCATCCGTGGTATTTCGTTTATGGACAGATTTTTGTTTGGGGGGGGAGCGGGAAGGGAAGTGTGTGTAAAGGAAGGAGACCGAGGTAGATGGATGCTGTTAAATACAGATAAGGAATGATTTGATGGAAAATAGGTTTCTACCCTCATATGCTGGGAACTTAAGGCCGGGACCTATTGTTTTTGCCTGGGAGCAATGTCCAGGCACGTGGGGAGGAGCAGGCTGCCTTAAATGCGCATGTGCAGCACCGGCAGTTATGCCTTTTGTGCGCGCGCGCTGTCTCCACCCCTGCCTCTCCCAGTGACCACGTGCCGTCCCGCGTCCGCAATCGTGACCCGCTGCGCTGGGTACTCAATGGGTGCCCGGTATGGATGATTGCCATGTATGCCAACCAATAGAACGCGGGGCAAAGGCGCTGTCGGAGCGGCAATTATAGTCTGCCCTGCAATAAAACCATCAAAGCAGTATCCGATCGCGGTTCGTGTCACTGTCTTTAACTCCAAGCCTTCAAATAAAGTTCAATCAAGAAAAGAAAAGAAACAAACACGATGTTTGGAGGGACAGCTGAGCGCAATGGACAGTAACCAATCAGTAATATGCGGTCTTGACGGACGTTTCTCTGAGCTAATCGAAATTTGGGGTCAATCTGATCGGTGGAGGAGGCGAGCAGGTGGGCGGGGGTAATGTTGAAAGACGGCCGTACTGGCCAATGAGACATCGGGATGTTCTGAGTGGCCGTCGCCTTGACCATTAACATGCGTGAGATAGTAGGCAGGGAATGCAGTGTTCGGATAATGATTGGTCGTTGAGCGCGAATGGACATGGGACCTGGCCAGTCAAAGTGGGGCCTTGCCTCTAGAGCATGGTCACCGTAACTAATCAGATCAGGGAGAGAATGATTGACATCGAGCCTAGCCAATGGGTGTAGGGGTGCTGACCGGCCGCCAGCGGAAGTGGCGGGTTTCCCGTTTGTTTTTCTGCCGGTTTCTGGCGCCGCTTTTCCTCCGGAAAGTTTTGGGTGAAAATCCCGGGGGAGTGTTGGGGGAGACGCAGTCTCTTTACCTAATCCCCAAACCACCTGCTCGGACCTTGCGGCAGGCCGCAAAACCTGACATTTCCCTGAATCACCTCCGGTCCGTTCTTCGTCTCACGCCAACCGGTCTCGTAATCAGCGAAAGGTGGAGGCCTCGCGGCCTAACTCCATGGAGTCGCCCGAGAAAGTCGATGTGAACCGAGCAAGCGCTGAGGAACTGGAGACGGCGCTGTTTGGGATCGGGAGGAAGAGGGCGAGAGCTATCGTTAGGAGGAGAGAGGTGAGGAGAAGGAAGAGTGTTGGTGGGGAAGGGTCGGGGGGTGTTGAGTGGGATAGTGTGTGTGTGTGTGTGGGGGAGGGGAGAGGGGGTAGTGAGAGAGTGAGGGTGCCTAGGAGGGAGGGGAGAAACAAGAGTGGGTAGGGGAGAACATGGTTGTCGAGGTGATTGGGAAGATTAGAGGGCGAGGACTGAAATGTGTGAGATTGATGTAGCCTTGAAATTAGTAAAAAGAAATGCTACTCCAGTAACAGGCCATTCAATCCACTGCATCTGTGTTTATAGAAACAGTGATTCGGTCTGATCTCACTCAGATACTTTTCATTGAGAGAGATTCCAGAGGAAGACCACTACCATCGTGGTGAAATAATAAAAGACTATGGTATCAAACGAAAAAAGCCTTTCCAGAAGATTAATGCAGGTCATAAAATTATACTCAAAAATAGCAAGAAAATAATTTTTAAAAATAATGAGAGTAATTATAGTCTGAGAAAATTAGAAAGTGCTGGATATTAAGAATGATTAAAGGGAGTGGTGGTTGAGGGAACTAATAATAAAAAAAAAAGGAAACAGGTGTGTTGAACAAGAATCATTGTAGAGGATACAAATAACGTCCTAGAAATAATTGTGAATTCGATGAAAGGGAGGCGTAATCAACAAGTCACTGCCACAATGATGAAAATTATAAGGGCAGGAGGAGAATACTCAAGGGAAATTAGGAGGGCAAAAAGAAGACCTGAGATAGCTTTGGCAAATAGAGTTAAGGTGAATGAAAAGGATTCTACAAATACATTAAGGACAAAAGTTGAATTAGGGAGAGAATTGGAGGGGCAGGATTTACAGGTATTTGGAAAGGGATAGTCAAATGTGGCTTTGTGCTGGGAAATCGTGTCTCACTAACTTGATTAAGTTTTTTGGGGACGTGATGATGAGTATTCATGAAGGCAGAGCAGTGGAGCTGGTCTGTATGGACTTCAGTAAGGCATTTGACAAGGTTCTGCATGGTAGACTGGTTAGCAAGGTTATTTCACATGGAATACAGGGAGAACTAGCCATTTGGATACAGAACTGGCTCAAAGGTAGGACACGGAGGGTGGTGTTGGAGGATTGCTTTTCAGACTAGAGGTCTGTTACCAGTGGTGTGCCACAGGATTGGTGCTGGGTCCACTGCTGGATGTGAAAATAGGAGGTACGGTTAGTAAGTTTACAGATGACGCCAAAATTGATGCTGTAGTAGAGAGCAAAGAATGTTACCTGAGACTACAACGGGACCTTGATTAGATGGGCTGATGGTCCAAGGAGCAGCAGATGGAGTTTAATTTAGATAAATGAGAGGTGCTGCATTTTGGAAAGGCAAATCAGAGCAGAATGTGTGCACTTAATGGTAAGGTCCTGGGGAGTGTTGCCGAACAAAGAGACCTTGGAGTGGAGGTTCATAGTTCCTTGAAAGTGGAATCGCAGATAGACAGGATAGTGAGGAAGACGTTTGGTATGTATGCCTGTATTGGTCAGTGCATTGAGTAAAGGAGTTGGAAGCTCGCGTTGTCGTTGAACAGGACATTGGTTAGGCCACTTTTGGAAAACTGTGTTCAATTCTGATCTCCCTGCTATAGGAAATGTTGTTAAACTTGAAAGTGTTTAGAAAAAATTTACAATGATGTTGTCAGGGTTGGAGGGTTTGAACTATAGGGAGAGGCTGAATCGGCTGGGGCTATTTTCCCTGGAGTGTTAGAGGCTGAGGGGTGATCTTACAGAGGTTTATAAAATCATGAGGGGCTTGGATCGGAAGAGCAGCCAAGGTCTTTTCCCCCAGGTATGAGACTCCAAAACTAGAGAGCATAGGTTTAAGGTGAGAGGGGAAAGATTTAAAAGGGACCTGAGGGGCAACTTTTTCACACAGAGGGTGGTGTGCAAATGGAATGAGCTGCCAGAGGAAGTGGTGGAGGCTGGTACAAATACAACATTCAAAAGGCATTTGAGGGGGTACACGAATAGGTTGGATTTAGAGGGCTATGGGCCAAATGCTGGAAAATGGGATCTGATTAATTTAGGATATCTGGTCAGCATGGACTAGTTGGACCCAAGGGTCTGTTTCCATGCTGTACATGTCTATGACTCTGACAAATTAAAATTTGACAATTGGCCAGGCCCTGACATAAATGGCTTTGAGCTAGTAGGTGCTTTTATTTTAATTTTACAAAGTCCATCAGAAGGAAATCTGCCATCCTGACCTGGTCTGGCTGATGTGTGAATCTAGGTCCATAGCAGTGAGTTTTGAGAGCAATTAAGGATGGGCAACAAATGTTGATTGGTAGTGATGCCCACATTCTGTGAAAGATCGATTTTTGTTTTTCCCAGCCCCTTTTAATATAGAAGAATGTGATGTAACCGAGGTAAACCTCAAAATTTGAATGCTTTGTATTGGTGTTTACTGAGGCAGAGGAAGCTGATGAAAGGTCAGTGGAAGTGGACATTGTGGTGAAATTAGATAGGTTGAAAATCTATAGCCAGCTATCTGTTACATCTTGTCTATACATGTATATGTTGTCTAGTCCAGATGCCTTGGATCAGTTTGCTGAGGGCATTTGGATTTGCAATTTCGGAAGGGCTTGCCTTACTCTTTCACTCTTGCTTAACTATAGATGAGATGCTAGAGGATTGGAGAATGGCACGTTATTGAAGAAAGGGTATGAGGGCAGTCCTATGAGCGATAGGCCAGGTAGTTTAGAATCAGTGATAGGGAAGGTTTAGAAACAAGGTTCAAAGAACCTTGTGTTGGAATGAAAGTGAATCCAAAGCAGGTTTGTAAGATTGTATTCGGTGAATCAAATCAAATTTTTTGAACTGACAGAAGGTTGTTGAAGGGTGTTGGATTTTTTTTTACATGCATTTTAACAAAACAGTTTGATAAAGTATCACAAAAGGGCCTGTGAACAAAACAAGAGTAGGACGTTCAGTTTCATGTGGGGGTGGGGGAAGAGATAAAATTTGCTTATGCACTGAAAACATTTGAGTCTTGCTCAGTAATGTTGTCCAGGTCAAGGAAACAATTATATTGGATACCAGAACTGGTACACACATAATGGCGTCATAAAAGAGGGTGAGCACTTAACAATAACAGTGTGCAGATGATGTGCATTGATATAATGAGACTCCTCCTTCAGCATGGCTTATGTGTGAAAGATTGTTCTGTCTGTTGGGTTATGTTTTACTGTCTATCCTGTTGCTGTTGCTCATGAGATTTTCTTTTCTTTGACTCCTATCCAAACCATGATTTAGGAATTGAAAGGCTTTTCATCGCTGGATGATCTCCTGCACATCAAAGGCATCACGGGCCATCTTTTGGAAAGGAACTGTGAGTTACTGTTGTGCCATACCAGTAAGCCGAGTACAGACACCAGCACGCAAGGCCTGTCCAGCAGCTCTAATAGTGTAAGTCAACATCTGCAATCCAACTTGGCAGCCAAGGGCAAATGTTGTTGGGGGGCATTGGTATCAGGATTTCACATTTCTATCTCTGTGGTGGGGTAATGAAGAATTGGAAGGCCGTAAGTAGGAGAGAAATACTAGTATGAAGCATACCTTCATGAAACCACAGTTGATACTTACAAAGCTGTGATGCAGTGCAGGGATTTTTTTCAGTTCATATCTGTGCTGCAGGACCAATATTTTTTCTGATATTAAAGAAAAACTGCATAAACCTCCCAATCCTGCTAACCTTCAGCCATACAACCTTCCAAGAGCTGTCTTGATTTCCAATTCTATTTATTTGGCAATCAATCATTTTAACCACATCACTGGGGTAGGGGGGCATGCCTCCAGCTGTCTTTTCCCTGGCTTCCAGAATTCAATCCTTAAAAGTTTTTGCACCTCTCTCTTTTAAAATGTTCCGTAAAGCTCATCGTTGCTTGCCCTACAATATCCTTTTTATTTCATTTACAATGTGTAGATGTTGCAGTCCTATTTTCTGTTGAGAAAGAAATCACTGGAGTCAAGAAGGGTTGCAGAGGACTGGAAATGGTAAATGTAAAACCCCTCTTTTAAGAAGGAAAGGGAGGCAGAAAGCAGGAACTCATACGCTGGTTGGCCTGACCTCAGTTGCTGGTAAGATTTTAGGGTCCATTATTAACGGTGACACTGCAACGTATGTGGTTGCGCATGGTAAAATAGGGCTGAGTCAGTACTGCTTCGTCAAGGGGTGGTCATGCCTGACAAATCAGTTAGAATCCTTTGAAGAGTGAATGAGTAAGTTAGACATAGGAACATCACTGGATATGATCTATTTAGATTTCCAGAAGGCCTTGAGGTGCTGCTCAGGAGGCAGCTAAATAAGAGTAGACGATTGGTTGAGGATCAGCTGACTGGCAGAAGGCAGAGAATAGTGATGAAGGGTAATAGGTCCACAGCCATTGCCATCTCCCAGGCCCTACACCCATCCCTGGAACATCAGGATAACAAGGGCGCCTACATCAGTCTCTTATTTAGCTCTGCCTTCAACACCATAATTCCAACCAAACACGGAGACCTAGGATGCTGTCCCTCTTCGGCAACTGGATCCTTGACTTCCTGACCCGCAGACTACAATCAGTAAGGACAAACCACCTCCACAATAACCTTCAACCATTGTACCCTGCGAGGCTGTGTACTCAGCCCCTTACTGTACTCCTTATAAACACATGACTGCGTGACTCAATTCAGCTCTAACTCCATTTACAAATTTGATGACACCACTGTTGTGGGTCGGATCTTTAAACAATGATGAGACAGAGAACAGGAAAGAGATAGAGAGCTTAGTGACATGGTGTAAAGACACCAATCTCTCCCTCAATGTCAACAAAGCGCGGGAGTTGATGATCAACTTCAGGAAACAGAGTGGAGGACACGCCCCTGTTTGAATCAGTGATGCTGAGATGGAGGTGGTCAAGATCTTCAAGTCACTAGGAGTAAATATTACCAACAATCTGTCCTGGTCGATCCACGTCAATGCTACGGTCAAGAAAGCTCACCGATGTCTGTACTTCATCAGAAGGCTAAAGAAACTCGGCACGTCCACAATGACTCTTACCAGTTTTTAGAGATACACCATAGAAAGGATCCTATCAGATGTCCCACAGCTTGGTATGGCAACTGTTCTGTCCAAGACTGCAGCAAGTACAGAGAGCTGTAAATACAGCCCAGTCCATCACGCAAACCAGCCTTCCTTCCATTGACTCTGTCTACACTTGCCACTGCCTCAGGAAAGCAACCAACATCATTAAAGATCCTTCCAACCCTGGTTATACTCCTTCACCCCTTCCATTGGGCAGATGATTCAAAAATTTGAAAATGCGTGCCAACAGATTCAAGAACACCTTCTTCCCCACTGTTATCAGGCTTATGAATGGTCCTCTGATATATTAAAGTTGATCTTTCTCTGCACCTTCCCTGTAGCTGTAACACTATATTCTACATTCTGTTCTATTACCCTGATGTACTTATGTAAGGCATGATTTTTCTGGACAACACGCAAAACAATACTTTACACTGTATCTCCGTACATGTGACAACAATAGAGCAAAATCAAAGGGGTCTTTCTCCGGGTGACAGCTGGTGACCAGTGTAGTTCCCGTGGATCAGTGTCGGTGTCACAGCTATTAACGTGATATGTTAGTGATCTGGATGAAGGAACTGGGGACATTGTTGCTAAGTTGGCCAATGACACAAAGATAGGTGGAGGGACAGCTAGTGTCCAGGAAACAAAGAGGGTGCTGAAGGACTTGGACAGTCTAGAAGAGTGGAATACATCGGAAAGTACAAGGTTTAGCACTTCGGTAGGAAGAACAGAGGCATAGATTATTTTCTAAATTGGTAACGGCTTCGGAAACCTGAAGCACAAAAAGAACATAGAAGTTCTGGTTGAGGATTCTCTTAAGGTTAACATGCAGGTTCGTTTAGCAGTTCAGGCAGGTGCAATGTTTAATAAATGTGGAGCTGGAAAAGCCCAGCTGGTCAGAAGTCCACATTTTGGGCCGAAACCCTTCGTCAGGACTGGGGAGGGGCTGGGGTGCGGGCAGGGGAGATGGAGATAGGTGGATGTAGGTAGGGATTATTGAAATTGGTCAGTGGGAAGGGTGGAGCGGAAAGGTGAGTGGGAAGATGGACAGGTTGGGGAGGACAGATTTTGAAGCTGGTGAAGTCAGTATTCAGGTCATTGGGCTGTAAGCTCCCAAGGTGAAATATGAAGTGTTGCTCCCCTAGTTTATGTTTGGCCTCACTCTGACAGAGGAGGAGGCCAAGGATGGACATGTCACCAGAGGAGTGGGAGTAGTGGGGGAAGTTAAAGCGGATGGCAACCAGAAAGTCGGGTTGATTGGTGCGTGCAGAGTGTAGGTTGAGTGTAGTTGCGAAGTGAAGCTGGTCGGTGAGTCGGCATTTGGTTTCCCTTATATAGAGGGAGCAACGGATACAAAAGATGAGGTACGATGAAGTGAATCTCTGCCAGATTTGGAAGGATTGTTTGGGACCTTGGATGGGGGTGAGGGGTTGGGGGGGGTAGGGCAGGTGTAGCATCTCCTGCAGTTGCAGGGAAAGGTACCAGGCGTGGTGGAAGGGTCGGTGGGGAGTGTGGAGCTGATGAGGGAGTTGTGGATTGAATGGTCCCTGTGGAAAGAGGACAGGGGTCGGGTGGGAAATAATATTTTTGTGATGGGGTCTGATTGTAGGTAGTGGAAATGTAAGGGGATGATATTGTTGTATTCAGAGGTTTGAGGGGCGGTATGTGAGCACTAAGGGGACCCTATCCTTGTTGGGTTGAGAGGGTTTTGAGGGCAGAAGTGCGGGAAATGTTGGAGATGCAGTTGAGGGCATCCTTAATAACAGAGGAGGGGAAATTACAATCTCTAAAGTAGGAGGATATGTGGGAAGTCCTAGAGTAGAGTGCCTCATCCTGGGAGCAGAGATAGAGGAATTGAGTATGGGATAGCATTTTGGCAGGAGGGTGGGTGAGAGGAGGTGTAGTCGAGGTAATTGTGGGAGTCATTTGGGTTTGAAACTGATATCAGTGGAGAGTTGGTTATCGGAGATGGAGATGGAGAGGTCCAGGAAGGGGAGGGAGGTGTCAGAAATGGTCCAGGTGAGTTTGAAGGCATGGTGGAAGGTGTTGGCGAAGTTGATGTACTAGTCAAGCTCGCAAGAGTACAAGGCAGCACCGATACAGTCATCAGTGTCGCAGAGAAAGAGCTGAGGGATGTTGCGGGTGTGGTTGTTGAAGAGGGACTGTTTTACGAATCCTACAAAGAGGCAGGCATAGTTTGGGTCCGAGTGGGTGCCCATGGCCACCCCTTTGTTTTGTAGGAAGTGGGAGGAATCAAAGGAGAAGTTGTTGAGGGCAAAGACCAGTTCCACCAAGTGAATGAGTGTGTCGGTGGAGGGCAACTGGTTGGGCCTACGGGAGAGGAAGAAGGGGAGGGATTTTTGGCCAACCCTGTGGGGGATACAGGTATCCAGGGACTGAACATCCATAATGAAGTGTTTAGGGCCGGAAATTGAAAGTTTTTGAATAAGTGGAGGGTGTGGGTTGTGTCCTAAATGTAGGTCATAGAATCGTAGAATCCCTACAGTGTGGAAACAGGCCCTTTGGCCCAACAAGTCCACACCAACCCTCAGAGCATCCCAGCCAGACCCTATAACCCACGTAATCTACACATTCCTGAACACTATGGGCAATTTAGCATGGCCAATCCACCTACCCTGCACATCTTTGGACTGTGAGAGGAAACCAGAGCACCCGGAGGAAATCCACGCAGTCACGGGGAGAATGTGCAAACTCCACATGCACAGTCGCCCGAGGGTGGAATCGAACTCCAGTCCCTGGAGCTGTGAGACAGCAGTGCTAACCACTAAGCCACCGTGCCGGCCCAAACCGTGCCATAGGTGGTGAGCTCCTGGACCAAAGGAGAAAGAATGGAGTCGAGGTAGGAGGAGATGACCTTGGTGGGGAAGGAGCAGGTAGAGACAATGGGTTTTAGGATTTTGGGTTGACTGGGGCAGTTGGGTTTTAGGATTTTGGGTAGGAGATAGTTCTCCAACTCTGCACCAACCGTTTCTGTCAGGATGGGCGCTGTGCACGGGAGATCTCCTGAGGTGATGAAATTGTTGATTTTTAAACTTGTTTCAAGAAGACTAGAATACAAGAGCAGAGATGTGCTGTTGAGGGTGTGTGTGGCTTTCATCAGATCGCATTTAGAATATTGTGAGCAGTTTTGTGCCCCATATATAAGGAAGGATGTGCTGGCTTGAAGGGAGTTCAAAGGAGGTTTACAAGAATGATCCCATGGATGAAGGGCTTCTCTGGAGGAGTGGTTGAGAACTCTGGGTCTGCAGTCAATGGAATTTGGAAGGATAAAGGGGGATATGATTGAAACTTACAAAATACTGAGAGGCCTGGATGGAGT